GGATTTCAATATAACAATGCCATTGATTATAGTTTGCATAAATTTGTGGTTATTGGCGCAATGGACAAAATATGTCAATATTGTAATGCAGGGAAATTTAAAACTGAACCTCCTGGAATGTGTTGTACTTCTGGGAAAGTACGACTACCAGAATTACAATATCCACCAGAACCATTAGCTTTACTGCTTTCTGGCTCAACACCTCAATCAAATCATTCTTTGGATCACATTCAAATGTACAATTCATGTTTTCAAATGACGTCTTTTGGTGCGACGAATATAATAAGAGATAATTTTATGCCGACCTTCAAGGTAATTTCGGCATCAAGCATTTCAAATGAAAATTTTGAAATAGACAATTTATCATCTGAATATTTTGGCTCTACATTACAGATACAAAGGCAAATTTACCACAAAATCGGTTCCTTGCTGCCATTCTCAGATGCTAACTCTCAATTTTTCCAAATTTATTTCCTTGGCAGTAATCAAAATGAAGTCGATACACTGTTGCAAAAATAGTTGCGCGAGGGCCAAAATAAAACAAACGTCTTCAAATGGGAATTGCGATACTTTCGTTTATGATGTTTTATTTCACTTTTGTGTGTCCTCGCGCTCTTTCCTTTTAAAAATGGTGGAATTGAGCCAAGGCGATTTCGTATTTGACACATAAAAAATTACAAGGTTGCCGGACTTATTTCTATAGGTAATTTAGAGCGCCTCACAGGGTCGCATTTGAAAATAAATTACGATATTCTATTTGCTTCTTAACATCCCGGGCCCCGTGAATCTACTCGCTGCTTGATTCACTGACATCCAGCTTTGCTAAAATACAGACTGGTCGTTGGAACGTGCCTCCGGCCCATCTTGACCGAACTTGACGCTGGTTACTCGACCCAGTGGCCACTTGGAACGATGCAGGCGAACGTCACAGATCAGCACCAGATCCCCTACTGCTAACGGCTTCACCGGTTTCCACCATTTAGTCCTGCGATACAAATCAGGGAGGTATTCTGCTAGCCACGTTTTCAAAAACCGATAGTGTATTTGCTGCATCTTCCGCCACTGTGTCCTGGTTACTCTTAAGGACTCCTCCTGAGGATGTGGTGTCTGCTCGGAGTTAGCTGTACCTAAGAGGAAGTGGTTAGGGGTTAGTGGTTCTTCATTAGGAGCGCCAAGCGGTATATGCGTTAGGGGTCTCGAATTCACGACGTTTTCTGCTTCACACATTACGCTGTACAGTGTATGTTCCGGTAACTGCTCGTTGGTTAGTGCATGCTGCATCGCGCGCTTCACGCTGCGCACTAAGCGTTCCCAGCAGCCGCCGGCGTGTGGGTTCAGTGGCAAGTGTCGGCACTCAAATCTCTAGCAATCTCCAGATGAACGGCGCGCGTGGTCAAACATGTAAATAACGCGATCCACCGTTTCTCTGTTCGCCTGCCGGTCACAATCATGAACGGTCCCATATAGTCTAGCCCCACATACGAAAACGGACGAACGAAGGGCATGAGACGATCCTCGGGTAGTTGCCAAATTTGTGGTATTTCGGGCCTTGCCCGTTCCCTCTGACATGACAGACATCTTCTTCCTGCCTTTCACACTTCTTCGCGAATGTGAGGTATCCAGTATTTGAGGCGTAATTCAGCTATGATCGTGTTTTGATTCTGATTCTTCCATATGCGATGATACAAGTCGATGATTAGGTTGGTCACGTGGTGTCGTTGAGGCAATACTACGGGTTGACGTGTGCGTTGAGGAATGGCGTACGCGTTTTGAAGACGACCATTCACTCGAATTATGCCGACGTCGTCCATCATTGGCGACAATCTAAAAAGTTTACTACTTGCGTTTAATTGCTTACCTCCCCTCAGTATAGCGCACTCATCGGCATATGCACTCCGCTGCGCGATACGGATGACTAGAAGTTCGGCATCCTTAAGTTCCCTCACCGTCAACGAACCGTACAGTCGCTTCTCTGGTGTGTTGGAGCTGTTGTACACAAACCTTCGCAAGTAGGCGACAATTCTTGTGAGTCGTGGGAACGATGAGTACTTCTGCAGCATGTCCTCGTCCAGCGAGACGAGGAATACCTCATACTTGGCCCGTAATTCTTTACGAGTTCCATCGACAGCATCAAGCCTGGGCCAAAATGACTCGTCTTTTCTCAAGAAGTCTGGGCCACAAAGCCAGGAGCATTGACGCGAGCTGCTTTGTAGTCTCGTACCAAAGTCTGCTGGATTTAGAGCGCCTGGAGTCCATCTCCACTCGAGTTGATTAGTAACATCTAGAATTTCATCAACCCTATGGGCTACGTAGGGCTTGTACCTTCTGTGGTCGGAAGCTATCCACGCTTGGACTGTCTTCGAATCTGTCCACATCACCACACGTGACGGCTTAGTGTCGTGAGAACTCAACAGCATTTTCCGAAGTCGAGAGGTCAGTACTGCCGCCTGCAGTTCTAATCTTGGAATAGTCGTGAGCTTGAGAGGTGCACATTTCGTCTTTCCGGCTACCATTGCAACGTTCACGTCACGACCATTGCTGATTCGCCAGTACGCCACAGCGGCGAATGCCATCTCACTTGCGTCGGCAAATACATGGAGCTCCACAACTCCTGTTGTAAAGAATGTACCATAGCAGCGCGGAACCTTGATGTTGTCCACATGATGTAATATGTTTAGCCATGTCCTCCAGAGCTTTTGCGCCTCCACGGGAATTTCATCATCCCAATCAGTTCTCGCTCGCCAGACCGTTTGCAGTAGCAACTTCGCCTTAAGTACGTATTCGGCTGCAAAGCCAAAGGGGTCGAAAACAGACATGGTGACGCGTAATAACTCGCATTTGTGGGGGCCCGTTTGCCTTGCAACAGGTCTTCATCGACGCGACCGAAAGCGAGAACGAACTTGAGCTCATCATACTCCGTGTCCCACCGCATCCCTAAAACCTTCGGATAGCCTGCATTAGATTTGTCGAAACCTTTCTGTACACCGAAGTCGTGGCCTCCGTTTAAAGCATCGTGCACCATTCGTGAATTCGATATAAACCCTTTTAGGTTGAATCCGCCTTTTTGGTGAATGCATCGCACTTGATTCGCTATTCGCACGGATTCTTCCTCGTCTGCAAAGGAATGAACGAAATCGTCCACATAATGGTTGTTTAAAATCGCATTGACGGCATCAGGGAATTCCTCGGAAAACTCAAGCGCATTCTTATTTTTTACAAATTGTGCGGCACAAGGAGAACATGTTGCTCCGAAAGTCATTACGCGCATGGAGTACTCCACGATTTCTTCATCAGGCTTCTCCCTCCACAGAAACCTTTGCGCCGGTTGATCTTTCGCACGTACTACCACCTGATGAAACATCTCTTCGATGTCGGAGCTGAAGGCTATGGGTTTTTGTCTAAATTTCATAAGCACCTCTAGCATTGGTTTACCCATATCTGGACCGCTAAGCAGGTAGGAGTTCAACGATCTTCCGGAGACTTGTGCTGCTGCGTCGAATACGAGGCGTACTTTTCCCGGCTTATTTAGGTTGTAAACGCCAAAGTGGGGAAGATACCATATCCGTGGTTGTTTTGTCAGCGTTTCCTCTTTCTTTGAGTTTCCTGGAATATCCCTTCGCTAAGTAGTGCCTCATCGTTTTGATGTACTCGTGCTTCAATTCTGCGTTGCATTTAAATCTCCGTTCGAGCGCTAGAAGTCTTCTCTCCGCCATTCCCCGCGTGTACTCCGGTATATCTTCATCGGTTCTCCAAAGCAACCCCGTCTCAAAGCGATCGCCTATACGAACTGTAGTATTCTCTAATATGGCGCGTGCTCTTACCTCTTGCTGTGGCTCGACATGTTTGACAGTAGGTGACGCACTCAAGTCATCGCTTATTATAAAGTTCTTGACTAACTCGTCGATGGTTTCATCCTCGAGCGTTTTATCTGCGGCGTGTTCTCGCACCAAAAGTACTTGCTGTATCGCTACGTTCTCGTATCCCATTGGACCGTAAGTCACCCAGCCTAGCTTGGTCAACACTGCAGCCGGGCCCCGATGACCATCCTCGGCAATACGCTTAGCTATGCCTAGATGCACATTATCTAACCCTATCAGCAGATCTGGCGTCACGCCAGTGTACCCTTCTATAGGCAGCCTCTTCAGGTGTCGTTGTCTTACGTGGAGTTCCGAGATTCGGAGCGTCTGCCGCGGTAGCTGCAGGTTCTTTACAGTTCTCACATTGAGCAGAGGAAACCGTTTGTGTCCTTGACCTACACCCGATATTTCCATGTTTAATGTCATTGACGACTCAGTTTCCGTATTATTGCTGAACCACTGCAAGGTTAATTCTTTTTTAGACCCTGTTATGCCAATCTGAGTAACGAGTTTCTCATTCACCAAACTTATTGATGATCCTTCATCAAGAAGTGCGTAGCAATCGACTGACTTACCATTCGCAAACAGCCTAACCGGTAGTATTTTAAACAACAGCCTTTGGTTACAGGGAAGTGCTTCCGCTTTCGTTAGTATGCGCGGTATTTGTTGGCTTTGCTCTTCTCGTGAGCATCGAGGCTCGTGTAGGATTGCGTGCCACTTTTTGTCGCACCTCACATTGTCACATTGGTGTTTGCGACGACATGAACCGCCTCGATGCCCAGATTTCAAACAATTAAAGCACAGACGTCTTTCGCGAACAAAACGCCATTTTTGCTTATGTGGAAGGTCTAAAAACTGACTGCAACGTTCGAGCTCGTGACTCCCGGAACACATACTGCACTCGTTTCCATGCAACTCTTGCGTTTCAGTTGCATGAAAAAATCTCGGACGCCTCTCCGATTTTGGATCTGTTTGTCGATGCGGTTCGACCACGTTGATGCAAACACTACTAGCAACGCGTGCTTCTTCTTGCAACCACTCGCTAAGATGCTGAATAGTTGGCCGCGGTTGTATGGTCAAGGAATGTCTGGCCCATGCCAACTTGCGCTGCACTGGCAGCTTGGATACAAGCTCTTCCATTAAAATTGGATTGCTAAGGTGGTGGTCGCATTCAGCTGCACTAAGGAAAGAAGCCAAATTTTGTACTTTTGTGGAGAAGGGAATTATAAGATCTATTCTACTCTCGGGAATATTTGGAACGTTGCGAATACGAGCGATTTGGCTTTTGACGAGAAGCTCTGGCCTCCCAAACCGTTCCTTTAAAGTTTCGATAACTCGATTAACATTGCCACTGTGTATAAGCAGACACTCAACTGTCTCCCTTGCCTTTCCTTTCAGTGCCTTTTGCAACCTAATCATATTCTGCCGCTCAGTATATCTATACTCTTCGGTTGTGGCAGAAAACGCTTCCCTAAACATGGGCCAGTCTTCTGGACGACCATCGAATTCGGGCAAGTCATACAGCCTGGTCACAGGCTGTGCCGGTACATGCGATAGAGCGCGGTTCAGTTCACTAACCGCAGCTGCTAATGTGTTGCTTGGCATGCCCTCCCTTTCGATATTCGTCTCTGCTGTCGATGTTGCGTTATTCTGCTGCTGACTTAAAGCTGCTTTCAAAATACGTATTTCCTCCATCATTGCGTTTAACTGCACCGTTACACTTGCGGTACTTGCTTGGTTAGCGGCTGTAGTATGTTCTCGAATGGTAAGTTCGAGATCTTCGTTTTCGCTGTCCGCCATTTTGGATGCTGAACGTGTGGTTGGCATGTAATTGCTCGGCTATTCCCTATTGTATGACACTGCCTACTCAACGCTCCCAATTGACCTATCTAAAACCCTAATCCTCCTCAGATACACTTACCGGCACTCCAGTTGCTGCACACGCCTGCCTATATTTCTGCTAGGGCACCTTTGCTGCTTCTCGCAGTTCACTGCTATATACGCCTTCGTTGTAGCAACTCGCAAAAGTGAAATAAAAATTTGTTGAAAAGATAGTTGCGCGAGGGCCAAAATAAAACAAACGTCTTCAAATGGGAATTGCGATACTTTCGTTTATGATGTTTTATTTCACTTTTATGTGTACTCGCGCTCTTTCCTTTTATAAATGGTGGAATTGAGCCAAGGCGATTACGTATTTGACACATAAAAAATTACAAGGTTGCCGGACTTATTTCTATTGGTAATTTAGAGCGCCTCACAGGGTCGCATTTGAAAATAAATTACGATATTCTATTTGCTTCTTAACATTCACGTTGTGCATTTTTTAAAAGTGCCAGAAGATTGATAATTGAAGAATTGCAAGCAATATTTCATGAACATAACGAATTGGTTACTACGTTTAAGACAGCACTTGATCAAATGCAATCTGATGATCATAAAATTGTGATTAGAGCTGACAGAAGACCGATCGGTGAACACGAACGAAGATTTAATGCACCGCTTAATAATGAAATTGCTACTGTGATTGTTGGTGAAGAATTTCAATCACAGATGGATACTCTGTCAATATAAAAATGATTGATCCAGAAAATCCACGTGAGTTTTTGGATTAATGATGATTTTCAATAATTTTCTGTGTCATGTTTTATCATTCTATTTGCTTTGCTTTTTTTTCAGAACGTGAAGTAAATAAAAACGTAAGCGCCATGAACTATAATGCATATAGAATTATGATACGACAAAACCAGGAAAATCATATTTTGAAAGCCCGAAAACTATTTCATCAATATATCGTAGATATGTATGCAAAGATAGAAAATGAACGTTTGAATTTCATTCGATTTAATCAAAGGAAGTTGCGCTCAGAAGAGTATATCCATCTCACAGATGCGATCAATAATGACAGAAATGTAAACAATATTGGACAAATGGTAATTTTACCATCGACCTACACAGGGAGCCCCCGTCATATGCATGAGTACGCACAAGATGCCATATGTTATGTTCGTTGTTATGGTCGGCCTGATTTATTTATAACATTCACGTGCAATCCAAAATGGGAAGAAATTAAGAAATATTTGTATCCCGGACAATCTTCTACTGATCGCCATGATATCACTGCAAGAATATTTCGACAAAAACTCAAGTCACTTATGGATTTTATTGTCAAATATAAAGTTTGCGGAGAAGTTAAATGCTGGATGTACTCTGTCGAGTGGCAAAAGAGAGGTTTGCCACACACGCATATTTTAATATGGTTAGTGGACAAAATTACAACCGATCAAATAGATGATGTAATCTCAGCTGAGATTCCGGATCAGACAATTGATCCAGATTTATTTGATGTTGTCACTAAAAATATGATACATGGCCCGTGTGGTGTGATAAATGTCAATTCACCATGTATGCAAGATGGCAAATGTACGAAACGATACCCTAGAGCACTCATTTCTGAAACAATTACTGGAAATGATGGATACCCTCTATATCGTCGACGTTCAACACAGGATAACGGCAAATCAATAACTTTACAAGTGAATCGTCAAGATTTTGAAATTGATAATAGATGGGTAGTTCCCTATTCGCCATTGCTATCGAAAGCGTACAAAGCTCATATCAATGTAGAATATTGTAATTCGGTCAAATCGATTAAATACATTTGCAAGTATATTAACAAAGGCAGTGACATGGCTGTTTTTGGAGTTGCAGAGAACCGAAATTATGAAATAACTCAATACTAAATGGGCAGGTACATTAGTAGTAACGAGGCAGTTTGGCGAATTTTGTCTTTCCCCATTCATGACCGTAGTCCAGCTGTTATTCATTTAGCAGTTCATTTGGAAAATGGACAGCGTGTGTATTTTACTGTTGATAATGCTCAGGCAATTGTAGAGCGACGGCCATCAACCACATTAATTTCTTTTTTTAAATTATGTGAAAGAGATCAATTTGCTAAAACACTGCTTTATTCACAAGTACCAACATATTACACATGGAATGTAAGTTCAAAGACGTGGGAAAGACGTAAAAGAGGAAAACCTGTTGATGGTTATCCTGGTGTTTTTGAAAGTGACGCCATAGGACGACTTTATACAGTGCATCCTAGCCAGGCTGAATGTTTTTATTTGCGTCTTTTATTAATTAATGTTCGTGGACCAACGTCTTTTTTGAATTTGAAAAGAGTTAATGGGCGCCTCTGTCAAACTTACCGGCGAGTATGTGAAGAATTGCATCTACTTGAAGATGATAATCATGGGGATGCAACACTTGCAGATGCATCCGCAACAGGTACACCGCATCAAATACGGACATTATTTTCAATTATCGTTGCAACATGTTTTCCATCTGATCCATTGCAACTGTGGCAAAGTTATCATGATTATATGACCGAAGATATCTTGTATAGAATGCGTCGTATTTCTGCAAATCAGGAATCACTCATTACACTGGAAATGTATAACGAGGCATTGATTATTATTGAAGATATGTGCTTAGCAGTTGCAAATAAATTATTGTCACAATTAGGTTTACCACTTCCTAATCGAGCAATGCATGACGTATTTAATCAAGATATACAACG